TATATATATATAAAATTACAAAGAACATATGTGTATTTGTGTGTATCTCTTACTTTATCATATCAAAACACTGTAAGCAGATTATATTTATACAAGACGGAAACTGGTGGCTCCTACATCCGTCTCGCCTAAACTAAGATTTTAGATTCCCTCTCCATATTTTCAATTCTAGCTTCAGTGTGTTATTGTGTCTCTTGCTAGAAAGACAACCGATAATATATTTTTCCGAAATAACATTTATAATTCATTAAAATATATATATCTTTATACACTTGGAATTTTTTTAGATTCATCATCGATCTGCAAGTTGTTGATGCGATTTATCTATTAAATTATAAGTGTAGTTACGATTAAATACAAATATGAAAGCTTTGAGTATTCTGAAATATACTAATAAATCGTGGAGTATTCTCCAAAACAGGTATGTTGTTCAATCAATTTATATATTTTATCTTTATAATGATATAGATAGAACATCAAGCATCATGAATTTTTAGAATAAGCTAAATATTCGAGGTATTTTTTTAAAATAATGTAATTTTATTTGACTTATCTAATCAATCTGGCACGGCATATCTAATCAGAATCTAAACGAGTCATAACCGTTGTCGTCTAGAAATATTGTCAATTTTCTCATGGAATTGGTCATGATTCGCTGAGAGAGAGGGGAGAGGGAAGAGAAGGAGAGGAAGGGGGAGAGAGAAAAGTATTTATTTAATTAAAAATTCATTATTCATTACAGATCAAAAGATATCATGTGTATCAACAGAATCGTTAGACCAATGTCAACGGTTGATTCTAAGGAACTTGAACGTTTTTCTTCTTGGGACAAAACATTGTGGTGGAACTTGAATGGCCCAATACATTTTCTTCACTTTTACAATCCGTTCAGAATACAATTTATAAAGAATGGATTGATAAACGCTGGATTCATAGTGCAAAATCCAGATTTGCCGCTAGAAGGAATCAAAATTGTGGACGTTGGTTGCGGTGGTGGTATATTGAGCGAGAGTTTAGCTAGAATAGGTGCGCAAGTAACTGGAATAGATGTAGAGCCGAAAGCAATAGATGCGGCTAAACAGCACGCAAAGCTTGATCCCGATATATTAAAGAGAGTAAATTATATACAAACAACCGTAGAAGAGTTTTCCCAAGAACAGAAAGAAACATACGATGCTGTTGTAACTTCTGAGGTCGTGGAACATGTAGCGGATCCAGAACTGTTTTTAAAGGTATGATGTTATAATAAAAAAAGATCTATCAAATAGAAATATTAAAAACTAAATGTTTTATATTTTCTAGGAATGTGTAAAAATGGTGAAACCTGGTAAATCAATTTTTATTACGACAATAAATAGAACATTAACATCTTGGTTGTCTACTATTATAATAACTGAGTACATTATGAATAGAATACCTCGTGGTACTCATGAATGGAATAAATTTATTACTCCACACGAAGTTGAACGTATATTAGAAAATTGTACGTTTTATTTTAGATCATCTATATAACTTATAAATATAATAATTTTTGTAACAATTATTCGTACAAGGTTTCTATATTCTCTAATTTGTTAATCTTTTTTTTTAATAGATGGTTGCAAAACGATATCGACTCGTGGCATTAAATATAATTCATTGTTAAAAAAATTTGCTTGGTCGTCATCTACATCTACTTTTTATTTACTTCATGCAATAAAACAAAAAAATTAATACGTAGGTAATCTTTAGAAAGTGTAATTTTTATTATTATTAAAATATGAAATAGTCATGAGATGTCATATTATATTATTATTATATGTTATAATTATGATTAAAACTTCGTTAGAAATTCCGCATATTAAATTTATATAATTAGTTTTAAATATAGTATATAAAATTTTACATTTCTCATATAATTTTCTTTATTTTGATAGTTTTAATTTTAAATGTCGTAGAATTAATTCTCTTAGATTGAAAAAATTTTTTCATATTGACAGATAAAAACTCTTGAATATTTTGTTTATGTACATAATTATTTGAACTACTTCTTACGTATTACTTGATTTACTTGATATTTACTTGATAAAAATTATATGCAATAATTAACTATTTCGTGAAAAATGTATTTTTTATTTGCAGTTTCCTTTTGTGCAATAATACTAACGTGGAATAACGAGAAATAAGTTACATATATGGAAAGTTATCGTGAATCATTTACAATTAATTGGCATTATTGAATACCTTCTTGTAAACGACTTAACGAACTTAACTTAATTAAAATAATAATTTTATGAATACTAATGTCATTTTTATAAATTATTATTGGCTATCCAGCCAATATTATATTAGATAAAGTAATCTAATGCAATTCAATAAATTTTCAATATCTTCATTATATCTTTCACATTTATTTATAAACCTTTTTATAATTATATACATACAATAAGCAGGAGTGTATATATGAATGCATATTTTTCCTAATAAATTCAAATTATTTTTATGTTTTTATAGAAAAGTTATTTCTCTATTTTTACATTTTTATATAGTTTTTTTTAATTTATCTAAAAGTTCACTTTAAAAGTTTATTTCACTCCAAAAATTTTGACAATGAAAAATCTACTCCTAATAAATAAATTATTATTTTAGAACATTATAATTATTACTATATATTTTATTCTCATATTCAAATTGTCGTTGTCATATACATGCGCGTAATTAGACTTGAGCGAGTTAAATTATGTGATGTTGCATTCCAAGCAGATAATTGAATTGCAGTTTATCGTTTTTGAAGCTCGTTCTTCACGGCCGTAACTCCCATAAGATCTCCATTAAATAATCGTTTATATATTTATTATAGTCCAGAGCGCATATATACGAGTATCGTCTCTCTCTCTCTCTCTCTCTATTTCCCGTACCCTGTTATCCGAACGCGCATTTACGATCCGTCTTCCACATTTCTTCTAGCAATAAAAGCATTCGGTTATACTCGCTAACACTCCGACGAAGTATATACTTCTCGTGAAATGTTACTACGGTTCGGCCGCGAGTAAATAGAAGCCGCGAAAGGTGTGCGGTATTTGCACAGGCACTTTTCGCGTTCCTTTTTCGTTACTGCGAGCTTGCTCGTTACATCGTCCCAACGAACGAGCTTATACTTCTTGCCCTAATTGAGATACTCGCCATGGGAATTATTAAGCCTTGCGCTGCGCGTTTGCTTATGCACGCACGCGCACGCGAGAAAGATAGAACAAAAGAGACTCCAGACTTCTCTACGTAGTAATATTTTTAATAACGCATGATGCTATGTCCGAAACTCTAATAAAAAGCGTTTCGCTCAGCTAAAATCAATTATTACGTACATGTATATCTTCAACAAGTTAAATAATGTTTTCTAGAAACTTCGATTAAAATGTTTATATATGTTATCCGTGAAGATGACGTGTCGTCTTGTGGAAGTGTTCATTAATTATTGAGAATGTTCTAGCTTTATTTTCAATAGTATACTATAGTTTTATATATGGGTTAGTTCGAACCACTGAAGGACAAAAATTATTAATCTTGGAATACGAAGAGGTCAGGTTAACGCGGTAAAGTTATTTTAATAAAGGTTTCATTATTCGACATTCGATACGCGCTATTTTTATTTTATGAAAAACTACTGTCGAAAATTATCTTCGACATATATATTTAAATAAATTAATATTCGCGTGTTCACGTTCCTGAACATCTTCAGCGACAAGTGTTTATCGTAAAGTGCATAAATTTACCAATCGAATCTACTCGATTTCAATTGCATACCATTTTGCCTCGCGTATCGCGTTCAACCCATAGCACAGGCTACCAATACCGACCACTGATGTACGATTATTTCAATTATTTTATTACATACTGTTATTTTTAATCTTAGCCGGCGTAATGCATATAATCATGAAGCCTATTACTCCGCGAACGCGGGGGGGCGGGTGGAGAGGCGCGTTCATCCCGCCTCGCCCTCGCTCTCTTGCTCTGCGTTGTATTTTAACGATATCGTAATTTGGAGACCGCAAACCCCCTGACGTCACCGGTGCATCGGAGCATCTTGCCGGCGCGCAATCCTCCCACCCTCCTCCCACCCCGTGGACCGATAATCTCGGTCAAAAGGATATTAGCGAGCGACGAATTATAGGAATTTCGGCAAATTAGATATTGAGCGAATTGAAGGATTGCGTTACTAATTCCGCCGAGACGCCGGTGCGCCGGTCGTTACGCCAAGATTTATTCAACCGCTGTCACGCGGCAAGACCTCGAGAATAAACGATCGAACAATCTTTGCAGAGGCGATATGCAAAATTCGTACACGAACATACGACGCGCGATGTGTTTTTTCTCAAAATTCTCAAGCCCGCAAAACGCAGAGGCAGAACGCTCCGACGAAGTTTCACTCGTGAAACGTACGGCGTCCTTTGTTTGAAGAAAAACGCTTGTTTTCGTGCTTACGACGCGAACATGAGGATTCTTATTCGCGTTTAAGTCGTCGTTACGAATAAGTCGCGTTCTGCCCTTTCCTTGTCCGATCTCACGGCGCGGCGCGGCGCGGCGCGGCACGGCGCGGCATAGCATGGCATGGCGTGGCATGGCGCACGGCGCCGACGATCCAGCCGTCGCAGCTACACGCGCGGCCTTCTATTTTGCTCCATGCCAATCTTAATATTATCCTTCGAATTATGGCCCTAATGTTATCCACGATACGCGTTCCCACTACACGTACGAGCCATTTCGAGTCTAATGATCGAGCACGAAATTCGGAGCGGTATTTCCCCGGCGGACGTCGAGCCGATGGATATTAGGATATCATCTGGATTATTTCGCAACTTTTGGCAAACAGGGTGATTGCGTATTATTATTATTATTATTATTATTATCATTATGCTTACGCAACGAGCGTTTCATTAGCGTTTTGTTGCGCCGTTACGTTTACGCGACAATGCAACAAATAACGCGTTGTAGATCTTTTCCTCTTCCGGTCAGGAAAAGGACGTCACGCCAACGTACTTCCCCGCTACTTTCGTCGCGGACCAAACGCAGGCACACGTTAATTATTCGTAACACGTAAATTTCGCGTAAGTTTCGAATATTCGAACGTGCCGTATGCGCACGGATATTTCGCAACGTCACGGACGGGTGACTCTGCCATCCGTCGCGAACACGAGACATTGTCACGAGATCTCGCCGTCGTAAATCTCCGGCGGTATATCGACGTTGGTAGAGTGACACGAATGATATTCGCCCGTCGGCTAGAATGCATTCATATATCGCGGCACGTATCGTGTCGCTCGTAGCCTGTCCTGGCAGGAAGCGGCCGGCTATACACGGCATAACTTGTAGCCGTGTCGTGATAGCGACACTTCATAAACATGGACTGGCGTCATGTCGCGCGGTGGTACCGACGAGAAGCCCTTTACATCGTCGATCGTTATCCGCCCGCGCCGATGGACATCGACATTGGACGCCCGTTGTGTTTACGGCCTGTCTGACGTAAAAATGCGAGGACCGCGAAGTACTGAGCCCGCTGGAGGGTTTGGAATTTATTTCCACTATATAACTACTCGAATAACGCATGTTCCACTACATGCGTATTTACGCATGAAAAAAATATATAAAAATATTGCCGATTAGAACGAGAAACGTAACGGATTAATTATTATTAATTTTCATCATTTTTATTATCTGTGAAAGAATCGCATCTCAATCATGGTCATACATCGTTTATAACGCGTAGACTATCATATTATATGTATATCATATTATATGTACAATTAAATAAAATAATCGCACAGTGAAAAAGTTTGCACTGACTGAAGAAGAAAAAGGTATAATTTAAACGTATGATAAAAAAAGCGATCGAGAAACATAACGAGAATCAATCAATTCAAATTTCGTATTTCAATCAAATAATTTAAGCTTCAATAAAATAAACTTTATTGTGTAACTCTCTCTATGCGATTCATTTGTTTATCAATTTCTGAAGATTGATTTGTTGAAATTGATTTTTTTCGATTAACGTTTTAAGATTAGTAGTATAGTAATAATGGTATAAAGATAAGGAATAAATTCACTCATTGATATATTCCGCTAATGATTCATACTTTGTATCTATTTAGGTATGTATTTTTAACAT